AAACCTTGCGAATGCTTCACGTCCAAATAGGGTGTGGTATCCATTGTGGAAGGGCACAATGTGGAAGAGTAGTTCTTCGGACCTGTAGTTATCGGGAGTGTTGAATACTATGTCAAGAGTGACTCGTCCGGAGCAACGCGCCTCTCTGCTGGGGATAATTCCTCGAAAGGTAGCTCTATTCGACGCGAGATCTATCGAACTGCATTTTTCAAGGGTATCCTCGTAAATGAGGTTTAAGTTGTTGCATCCGTCCATTAGCACCTTGTTAGTCTGAAGCCATCCACTATGGGATGGAGGACTAGTGCGGGGGGCACTCGGACGAGGCAGGCCCTTGGCTCATCTTCCTCGGCAAAGGTGATTGGTATATCTATCCATGAATTTGCAGCTGTCACCTGGTGGATTTGACCGAGCTCTCTAAGGGCTCTTTTCCTCTAATTATTTGAGGAAAATGTCTCATAGATCATTAGGACCTCAGTGTCGTTGTATGAGGGTGTTGCTGATCGCCTACTGGAGGGTGTGACTCCGAGGATAGCTTCCCCACTATTAGCCACCTACCTGACCACCCAACAAGCTCGAAGGCTGTGGGTTAGGTTTGTGTTCAGCAAGACCGAGTGTATGGGGCATGGTTTGTCCTGTAGCTCGTGGAGGATTGTTCTGGGTCCGGTGAGGAATCTGTTCTTCTTCTCAGCGGGCTCGTGTTCGGCCGACCACCGTGGGTATAAGCATTTTTCCAGAGCTTTTCTGGGGTTCCTCGGCATGGATTGACTCCACACGCATCTGTTGTGCCTTCTAGGCGCTTTCCATGGTGCAATATTTGCATACCAGATCTAATAACTCGGTGAAGTTTTGAACGTGGCGACAGGCGAGGGAATTCAACATTCCTTCCTCTCAGCAGTTATGCCGAAAGGTCGCTATGATTACTTTGTCCCAGCAGTCCGTCATTCTGTCTTTAACCAGGAGGAATCTGGCCCAGAAGTGGTGGACCATTTCTCCAGGCTGCTGCTTTATGTACATTAAATCCCATATGTCTGGCTTCCCTGAGTTACTTGGAGATACTCAATGTGGGGGGGGGGGGACTTTGCGTCCCAATGGGTTGCCTATCCGGGGCTTTGGCGATGTTGTCTTGTGTCACTGTGGTATCCAGCATGCCAGGTTCGGAATCTGGGTTGTCAACCGGATACTGCTGTGCAGACTCGAGGTCATGCTTTGAGTCGAGGCTTGATACCGTGCTCTTTCTGGGACAAACATCGGATTTTGAGCTAGAAGCTGAGGTGGGATGATCGGAAAACCATACATAATATATTTTTAACTTTGGTGGTTTCGAGCCTTCTACCAAACCCTCGATGGTGGGGACGAGGTGTGTGATAGGTGGGATGTGAATTTCCCTGTTATGGGGTTTAAGCCTGATCTGGTCATAGACCGAGGATCGGCCGTCGGAGATTCCCATGGTTCCGAACCGGTCTAGTAGATCATTCAACGATGAGAGGTTTGATGGGTCCATACTCTCCGAGTATTCGGGATTGACCCGTAGTATAGCCGCTCTGGGGACGTTCGAAGTTGTTCCCAGGTGGTATTCAGCCAGAAATAATTCGGACTAATCGACGGTGTCGGGATTTAAGGTCGGGCCCCGGGTGACATTAGTCCCTATTTGGTTTACCAACCCTGAAGTTAAAGCGTCGAGATCAACAAGTTCATCAATGGGAGCTGAAGACTTTGTCAGAGTAAGATCTCCCTGGGAGTCGACGACGTACTCTAGGCTCCCGAACCTGATCTCCTGATCAGGGGCGAAACCTCCAACCTGGCTGAGACGGCCGGTCGGCTTGGCGTGCAATACGACACTGCCGAACACAAAAGTCTGGCCGGGGATGAAGATGTCCCCTGTGTGGATGCGTTGTTGATGACTAGGCGAGCCATCGATCCTTTGGCGATCCAATAGCAGAACTCTCAATGAAAGCATCAATGTCAGTGTCAAAACTGGCGGATCTCGGGTAGGGGTCCCGAGCTATGGATCCTGGATCAATGGGGAACAAGGGACGAAGGCACGATGTTTACCCAGGTTCGGGCCCTCTCGAGGAGGTGAAACCCTACGTCCTGCTTGATTATATTGAAGTGTATAGGATGATTACAGAGTCGATCTACCATGAGATCGGATGAACTAAACCCTAGGTGAGTAGGATGGTGATTGTTCTTCTAGCCTCTACGGACTAAACCCTCTGGTTTATATAGACACCAGGGGTCCTAGGGTTAGACATGGTTTATTACGACGAAGGAAACATGCCAATTCTCTTATCTTGACTTGGAGGAGGCACCAAGGCTTCGAGGGTTTCTTGTTTGAACATAGAGTCACCTTTATAGCCCGGCCTCATAGTATTCATATGGCGGCCCACTTGTCCGGCTCATAAGAGA